TTTCTATGTACTAAAGCAATGATAAATGGAAAGAGCCTATTCCCAAAAGCCCACAGAACAAAGAGGAAAACTTTCATGCAAACGACATAATTCAAATATAAGGCTTCAGCCTTAGATATTTAAATGAACTAGCTTAAGCTCCTATCATGCTTATGTTGAAAATCAGTCTTCTTTCCACCCATTAACTTCACTGGAGGTTCATGTTACTCCCACTACTTTTTATTCTAGTTTCTTGCTTTTGATAAATTTTCATACTGATATTTCTTTTGTGACCAAATCATTCGAATAGGGGAATACAGATAATTTATCTCAAGATTTATCATCATCAATAAATGTAAGACCTTAATATTTAACTGCATTTCCTAAAAAAAAAAATGGCTATAGTTAATGGGCTTTAAATAAAAGCTACAGGTCTTAGAATGTTTTGGGTGTAAGCAATAAAAGGGAAAAAAAAAGCCCTCAAACAGTCCTAAACTCTTAATTCATTCATTAATAATTATTGGTCCAGTACTGGGGAATTAACAATTAAGAAAATAGTCAAAAGTCTTTGATCTCAGGGAGATGATTTTTTTTTCCTTGGGGAAGAAAGATAATATCCAATTAAATAATTAAATGCACATGTACAGTAGTCACATAATATTAGAGCAAAAAGGCACAAAATATAGTTCATTTTTTTAGATAGGGAAGTCAGGAAAGAATCATAGAAAAGGTGACATTTAAAGAGAAATAGAAGGATTTGAGGAAGTGAGTCATATGGACATTTAAAACATAGGAGTTCTAGGTAGAGGGAACAGAAAATGCAGCAACACTGAATTTGGCAAGTTTGAAGAACAGTGAGGAGGTTAGTGTGTCCTAGGCAGGGTATCAGAATGGAAAAGTAATATATAAGGTCTAGAAGATAACTGCATTCCATATCATAATGTTTTTTTTTTAATTTATTTATTTATACATACAGGAACTGGGGTACAGACCAGAGGTATGGGAGGTAAGAGGATTCACCAGAGACAGAATGGGGAACAGAACAGGCAGATCTACTGAAATACACTGCTGAGGGGAGCAGTGGGCAAGTCAGGAGAGGTATGCTGCGCCATGTGGGTTGCTCTCTGGCTGGCCGGGGATTAAACTCTTGCTGCAGTGGCTAGGATAGCTTCATAGTGCTATGTCTTAATCACTTGCGCCACCAGGGAGGCCCACATAGTGATTTTTTAGATCAATGTAAAAACTTAGGCTTCTAATCCTAATGGAAGTTTATGACAAAAAACTGGCATGGTCTGATTAACATTTATGGAGGACCACTATGTTTATTGAATAGAGAGGCAAGTGTAGACACAGAGGACCATTTGGAGACGATGGTTCTAATATAGGAGATAGATGTTGGTTTAGATTAGGGTAGCAATAATGGAAATAATGGAAAGTGGTAAGATTCTGGATATATTTTGATGGAAAAGCTAACAAGATTTGCTAATGGATTAGAAGTGGGTTATAAGAAAAGGACAACTGGGTGGATATAAGTGTCATTTAATGAAATTAATAAAATTACAGAAGTCAATTTGGAAAAGGATTTGGTTTTATTCAATAAGTGAAATTTATTGGGTTGTCTAACTAGAACCACCAGTGGGCTGGCAGGTTTCATTATCAGTTTATAGGTCATTTGATCATAGTGACCCTATCAGGTCATCAAAACTCACCTATATTTTTCATCTGTTGTTCAGAATTTTCCTATGGATGGTTGCCCTTGTGGTGAGAGAATAACTGACTTGCAGTAGGACAAGCAGGGCAGTTCTCATAACCATAAAACAAAAAGACTTGAGGGTGCAAAATGGGTAGTTCCTAAACCAACACCTATGCCTCAAAATATGTCAAGAAAAGTGTCCACTGGATTAAGCCTAGATTACTTTAAAAGTAATCACCACCTAAATGGCATTATGGGATTACCTGATTGCTTAGAACAATTTGCTACCACTGTTGGAGGAAGTAAATCTACCTAAACCAAATGGTTGCAACGTAATCAGTAAAGAGTTGGAAAGACAGGCACAACGCCCAATACAAATGCACAGAAGAGCAACTGACTTAAAATTAATACTGGGGACAACTATTCTTACAGACTTTTGGTGATTCATATCCTGAGGAAATCTCACTGGCTGTTTTTTCTCTTGAGGTCCCCCAACTGAAAAGGAGTTCCAAGTTGCATAACCTCCTCTCCCTTGAAATCTGTCTCCTATGTCCTCATCATACTACTTCTCAGCTCCCCTAAAACCCTCTCTCCAACGTTGCCATCAATATAGTTAAAATTCCCCCCAGTTCTCCCTTTATTATGTAAAGAAATTAGGCTCTAGGCAGCTTTGCAGATACACAAAATTGTTAAATTGGCCTGTTAAATGAAGGGCTCATCACTCCAAGCATAAACTCTGTAGAAGAACAGAAAGACCTACAAAGGTTTTCAAATCTTGCTCTTTTTTTCTTTAAACGTGTTAATTTTTATTCTTCCCCTATTAAGCTCTGTGAGTGAGAACTACTTGGATCTCTTTGTTTTAATAGATATGCATAGTCTTTAATAAACAGAAGTAGCAAGACAGCCGAGATTCTGTGTGTTCACATGAGAATATTTTTGGTCTCCTATTTTAAATAGATGCTCCTCCTCTTTCATAGTAATTATGCAATGAATAATGAACTCTTAATAAACTAGATACATAGTGCTATATTAGCTAAATAGAACGGACACCTGATCCTGCCCATAACAGTGGCAATAATAGACAATAAGTATCTTATATACAATACTGAAGCTATTGTACTAATACTGATGCCTTGCTATTATTTCATATAAAAATTAGTTTTATTTCATATAAAAATTAGTTTTATTTCATATAAAACCAAAGCAATATGGGGTTATATCTTTGGAAACATAAAGATTGAACAATTTGTTATTTCTGGATTTTATTATTTTTGTCAACATCTTTTTTTTTTTTTTCTCCCATTAGCAACACCTCAATTTTGCTTCTAGGGGAAATGGTAATTACCCAGTAGATACTGTCTGGTTATATCAGTCAAAGGGATATATTTTCCTCCATATTCTGGAATTTAGATTAATAAGATAGAATGTCTCTGATATATTTGACATTGGGAGTTCAGGTGGGATGAAGACTGATCAGCAGCAGTAACTGATGAGATTATTTGCTATTACTGCTAGCATTCTAAAAACTGCCCTGATTCTAATCTTTGAGAATTTCCAGATTTCCTTTAAGTAACCTACGTTTATATCTCCCTAGAACTTCACGAGAAATTATTTTCTTCCTATGTTAGTAAGTGTGGGCTTCAATTCCTTACAAAGAAAACAACCTAAATATGACAAAGCATGGTTTTCAAAAACAAGTCAAGACACAATAAGGCTAAGATAAGAATCCAGGTCTCTAATACTCAGTCTTGTGACTTTTGTACCATAACATGATTTCTCTAAATGCTAAACAAGAGAAAATGTTCTTCAAATATAAGAAATATAGTCTAATGATAATGTGTTCTTCAACAGTTAGAATAAGTTATAAAGTAGAGAAGGATATAGTGATGGCTTACATCCCATAAGACCATGAGAAAGAACAAACTGGGTATTATTCCTGCTAGAATTTTACAGTAGTACAAGCTACCTTAGCCATGTCTAGGAATTATATGAAAACACTGAGTAAATCTAATCCACTCCTGAGGGCCTAGTGATGAATCACAGCCAAGTTCTTGGACCTTATCATCAAAACAATCTGGGGATTTCTGAGCTCTCACAGTTGCCTCTGCTGCTGCTTCTGCAAAATTCCATTTTGTGGTTTGTGGGTGAATTAAAGAACCTTCGATCAAGGCTTTAAATTGGAGCTTTTACAAATAATAAAAAGCCTTGTTAGATAAATTTAAATCATCTGCTTGGTTCCCTGAGTGTGCAGAATAAAACTGAATGGAACCAGTAAGATCCTTTCTGCTCATTTTATCTGCTCCCAAGTTTAGGTGATGATCACACTCCTGTGATTGTAACTTGATCTTTCTGTTTTCTGAGGATGAAGAAATTCTCAAAATTTATCTACTGCTAACTGGGGAATATAGTTCTCTCCACAGTAAAAATCAATCTAAAAGTTATAATGCAGGAACTATAGGGGAGAGAAGATTAATTCAAAAAGAAACAAACTCAGAGTCTAAAAATTCTGAAAGCTGACACATATCAGTGCTGAAAACATGGGCAGATTGCCAAAAGTATTTTGGCAAAAGATACTGAAGTTGAGAAAGAGCTAACTTTAGAATGAGGCAAGGCAGATAACGAGAGGAAAAATGAAAACAAAACAAAACAAAAAACCTATGGGGGGGGAGTAAAGGAATAATCAGAGTTGAATTCAAGAAAAGACACTGACAGTCTCTTTGTTTTAATGAAAAAAGTACCAAGAAAAGGTAAAAGTTTCCTATTCCACTCGCTGAGGAATTACTGAAAATGAAAATCCACTGTAACTAAGCAACAACAGATGATTTCTCTGAGTTAGTATACCGTGCTCCAAACAAGAAGACAAAATAAAAATGTTGGTCAAAAAATTGCAATTTCCTTAACCTTGGTCAGAGAGACTAAGAACTCTCACATCCTCCTACTGATCTACTGTCCATTTAAGGTACTTTTTTTTTTTTTTTTCTCCAGAAGTCATTCATTTAAATTCCAAACAAGCCAAAGCAGAGAGAAGAGGCGTCCGCAAGTTAATCACTACACTCTTGAGCTGGGAACCCCATGTCTCTGCTTTGGGGCAGTGGGAGCTGCAGACAGAGCCTGGGTCGACCCCTCAAGTAAGAGCGCAGGTGTGGGGGGACGCAGACCTGCTGTGCCTGGCCAGGCAGGAGGCAGGCGGCAAGACTCACTCACCCGAGCCCCAGGGGGCACAGACCGCTGAGGACCCCACTTCTCTGAAGCAGCGGGAAACTCCAAATAGAGAAAAAGAAAACAAGACCTGAAAGAAAGAAAACTCGAAAAGATAAGGCGTACGCACCTATGAGAATCCAAGTAGTCTCAGCGTAGGAGATGCTCGGAGAAGCACACCCTCCGGCCTGCTGCGGTTAAGTTTGAAAGTTTATTCTGTGGAGAAACAGTGTCAGGACTGCTCGGGGCCTAAGTTACCCTCTTCATCTCTGAAGTAGCTGTTGGCTACTTCAGCCACCCAGTGCTCAAGTAGTCCTCACAGGTGAGACCTCGTATGGCTCCCAGCCCTCACCTGGCACGCAGCGATTGGCCAGCGAGGGCCTCATGGCGTCCACCTCACTTCCGGCGGATGGCTACTCTAGGTCTCTGCGTCGGCTCTCTTCCCACAGCTGTACATTGCGGAGGTGTCCACCTGGGGAGGTGAGAAGGTGATGCGTTCCGTCAGGAGGGAGATGTCGCTCAGCAGACTGGTGCTAATATTCTAGACGGGGTGCCACCGCTCCCAGGGTGGATCCTAGCTCTGGGGTGCTGCGACTTCTGGAGGTGAAGGCTACAGAGGCCTATGTTCCCAGTGTCACAGATGTCGGGGTTCCACATTTTGGTAGAACCGAAAGACCTGTGGGGAGTAAGAGTAGTCAGTAGTGAACTTGAGACATGCCTAGAAGTAGCCACCCTGATCATGAGGTGTTAAGGGCCCCCGAAGATTCCACCTTCCAGTTACCTTCCTCCACCGTGGTGACCCTGAAATCCTGGACCAGTTCCTCCTGCAGCCTGTTGAGGTTGAGCAGCTGTTGGACAATGCTGGTCTATAACATGTTTCTTCGTGTCCATGGATTAATTTCAAAAGAGGTGAATACGTAGAATGCAGTTATTTCATGTTTGTCAACCATTTTGCATTCCCAGCTATAATGAATAAAAATTCCTTTTGTCACTATACTGGATTTTGGCCGTTCTAATCGGTAAACAGTGGGATCTCATTTTTTTGATCTGCATTACACTGATGACATAGATCATCTTATTATATATATATTTACCACCTGTATGTCTTCTTTGGTTAGGAGTCCAGATTTTTTTGTCTGTTTATTAAATGTATTATTTATTTTCTTATTGCTGAGTTTTAAGAATTCTTTGTGTATTTTGAATACTATTCCTTAATCTGATATGAGGGCAAAAGAAACTGAGTGGTATAGTTCACAGAAATAAGATTTGTAAGGCAAAGATGACCAGAGGATGGATCTGATCCAACCCCTCTACCAATGGGTAGGACTGACAAACCCAGGGTTTCAAAACCATCAAGGAGATTGTTTTCATGTCAGTCTATATGGACTTTCTTTTATTTTAATGAGTGACGCGGAAGGAATAGAAAGGTTAAATTTTAATATTGAGAAACTATCACCAAATCTACTATTTTGCTCTTTTTTCCTCATATTCAAACTTACTTTGAGGTTGTCATATAGGGACCAAAATTTATGTGGCACATCTAATCATAGAAACTGACATAATGTAAACATCATCTAAATCTATAAACCTTATTTCAAAATCAATTTACATAATATGTAAACAAACAGGTTTTCAATCAAAGTTTAATCAACTTATTCTTAAATATTAATATAAAAATTACATTCCTTCTAATTTGTGTAACTACTGATCAAGAAAACCTTTAATTTACTTTTTGGTTTCAAACCTCATTTATCTTCTTCAAGTAATAGGAAAATACACTACGGTCAAAAATCGTCAATTTATGGAATATTTTTTATTATTTAAGCCTGTTTCAACTTGAAAAAGTACATTTTCAATTTCTATAAAGCTATATAAATTCTTTTTAAAGTTCATTTTAATCTTGAGATTTCAATATGCTTAAAGATATTTTGATCCTTTTATTTGTCAAAAATGTACTAGCCTTTGAAATATTTAAACATTTCTAATTTTCTTTTCTAATATTCTTTCCTAAGTATGCATAGTTTTACCTTAGATATAACTACCACTTGAGATAAGATAACCATAGTAATGATAATGCGACAATGGGGGGGGGGGCCTCCAATATGGCACAAGGGGTTAACACACAGCACTATGAAGCTAGCCACAGCCATTTCAGCACAAGTTCAATCCCTGGCCAGGGAGGTGACCCACATCACGCAGCGGACCTCTCCTAACTCACCTGCTGCTCCCCTCAGCAGTGTATTTCTGTAGATTCACGTGTTCTGTTCCCCACTCTGTCTCTGGTGAATCCTCTCACCCCCAACACCTCTGTCCTGTACCCTAGTTCTTGTATGCATAAATAAATAAGTCTTTGAAAAAAATTAAAGAATGAGAAAATGGACATAAACTGAGTTGGTTCTGGGCAAAATTGGTCTTAAAATAACAATATAAGTAATCTTAATATAAAATATATTACATTAAACATTTCAAAAAAAATCAACAGTTTACAAAACACATAACAATAACTGGCAAAAAGATAATTATCTTTTATAGTAGATACTTAAAAAATAACTTGTTTACCAAACTGCTGATATTCACTCAGCTTAAAATATAATTAGAAACTTGATCTTAGCTTGTTAATAAAGAGTGAGAAACTAAATCTGAGACAACAGGTTTTTTTAATTTATGGAACAATTTTAAAGTGTAATGAAAATCTTTGAAAGGCTTTCCTGTCCCAAATTTACCCACCTAATAAATTCCCTAAGAAGCTATCATAAAGCTTTAGTTGCTTTTGTTTAAGGACAAATTTTTAAAAATCTGTTCAAGGCACATAAGATTGTCAAATATTCCCGGTTATGGCAGATACGAAGGAAAATGTAGTTCGTGGGAGCTAAGATCTTGTGATATAGATATTTAACATTTGTATTTTCCTTTTTGGAAGATAAATGAGATTAGTAGTCTTCACCTCTTACCTGTTATTTGGCATGTATATTTGGCAACCCAAAGTATTCCTATTTCAGAGATAATTATTTGCAAGAAGAAAAAAGAGCATTACCTATTTTTTTTGTTTACACATTCTATATTTAGAAATCATTTCTGCTTGAATTTAATAAAATTTGTGAGATATTTTCATTTTTAATATAAATAAGGCAAAGAAATACTGAATTTCACAATGGATGCACAATTTTTGGTGATAGCAAGATGAGGAAGATATTACCAGTTAACAATAGCCAGAGAAAGTAGCAGTAAAGGAAATTTGCACTACAGATGTGACCCTAATATGAGAGTACAGTTTTTACCTAACAAGGAGAGAGTTGGGAAATGTTTTGATTAACTATTGCTGCATAGTACCAACACAAAACTTAGTGGTTTAAAACAACTATTTTATTATTGTTCAGCTTTATGGTTTTTCTCATCCATGTGATGCTGGAAAACCCTATTGCAAAGTGGAGTTTCAATTAAGATGACTAATTTTCATAGTTTACAGTTGGTGCTGGCAATTAACAAGGGACTCAGCTGGACTCATCCTCAACAGGAGTGTTCTTCTCCTTATAGATTTGGCTTTTGACATTATGGATGCTGGATTTTAAGGGACAAGAAGTAAAAGCCATTGTTGTATCAGTAGTTAAGATTCTCCAGAGTAAGATTTTGAGGATTTGGGGGTACAAGATATTTATTAGTGATTGATACCTCAGTCGGGGGGAAGTAGAAGACCAGGATGAGGCGAGGAAGAAGTCAGACTGATTCAGCTGGTTAACCTGAAGACTTATTACATATTAGGGTGTAAAGGCAGGACAGGCCACAGTGCAGGTTTTCTGATCCCATGCAGACCAGGTAAAGGAGTAGTCAGAGTACTTAGTGGTTTTTTGCAGGTCTTTTATTGGGGTTCACCAGGCATATGGCAGGCAGGGGTGCTGGCAAGTCTTCACTCTATCTGGGCTCTCTGGTGTTCTCTGCTTCTGCTGCTACTCTTCTGCTTCGGCTTCTACTGCTGCTGCTGGCGTCTCCGTGACGCCGCCCTTAAAAGCACAGTCTTAGCTCAGCTGAATCCCATCTACCTATGCCCACATCCTATTCCAGGTGCCCGCCATCAGGCATGCATTCAGGACAAGGATCCATCATCTATCCTGATGGCAGAAGGGCAGAAAAGCCTCATATTTTCTTTACCCTACATAGGGGAAAATGATGAGACCGTTGTACTCTCCCTTTGTTTAGTCCTCAGGAAGGGTGAGATGTCTGATAAGACAAATCTTTATAGCTGAGGCAGATGCAAAAGGAGCTGACACTTGAAGCCTTCTGCTGTCTGCCCCACTGATAAAACAGTAGGTTCTTTTCTAAATGGGAATCTTAGCTACTCATCTCAGCCCTACTGCTTGCAAATTCTCTTAAACCCTGAGTTTTTAGCAAAACAACAATTTCACCATCATTTGTTTGGTCAGGGTCATAAGAGCAACCTATATTAAAAAAAAAAGGGCTGGGATAGGGAATGAACTCTACCACACTCATTATTAAGAATAGCATGTTGTAAAGGCAGGAACGACAATGAGCAGGTTTTCTTGGATCCAGCAGACCAGGTAAAGGAGGAGTCAGAGTCCTCAGTGGTTTTTTTGCAGGTCTTTTATTGGGATTACCAGGTACAAGGAAGGCAGCAAGTCTTCACTCTATCTGGGCTCTCCAGTGTTCTCTGCTTCTCTTTCAGCTTCTGTTCATTCTAGGCCTTTACTGGCGTCCTCATAATGCTGTCCTTAAAAGCCCAGTCTTAGCCCAGGTGAATCCCATCTACCTATGCCCACACCCTAATTCCAGGAATGACACTGAGCAGGTTTTCTAGGATCCAGCAGACCAGGTAAAGGAGGAGTCAGAGTCCTCAGTGGTTTTTTTGCAGGTCTTTTATTGGGATTACCAGGTACAAGGAAGGCAGCAAGTCTTCACTCTATCTGGGCTCTCCAGTGTTCTCTGCTTCTCTCTCGGCTTCTGTTCATTCTAGGCCTTTACTGGCGTCCTCATAATGCCGTCCTTAAAAGCCCAGTCTTAGCCCAGGTGAATCCCATCTACCTATGCCCACACCCTAATTCCAGGTGCCCGCCATCAGGCATGCATTCAGGACCGCAAGGATTCATCATCTATCCTGATGGCGGGAGGGCAGAAAAGCCTGACATTTTTCCTTACCCTACACATGTATATACAGAAAAGGAAAGAATTGAGAAAGGCACTGGAGTCTGCATTCTGGATACAACAATTCAGATACAAAGTGTACTCACCACTTCCAAAGACCTCCAATCCATTATGGCATCAGCTCATATCCAAGAAATTTTTTCATCTGTATTAGCCAGATATAGATAGGGTTGGTTCCTCACTGTGAAGTAAAAAATTAAAAATTCACCAAAAAATCATTATCTACCCTGTACATACCCAAGATATGATAATGACAAAAGGACATGGCAGTCACAATAGGATGTGCTACTCTAAAAGGGACACACTAAAAGGAGACACAGCAGTTACTGTTTCATAGCAATTCTGAAATATAGCAGGGCAGTCACCATTTTCTCTGTCTCTAGAGACAGAGAATATTGCTTAATTAGGCCTCTTTTTGCTCTCAGAATGGTTCTCCATGGCATTGCCTCCTATGTCATCCTTTCTTTTCCAAAAGGAGAGGAATGTATCTGGAGCTAGGCAGTTTTCTTGGTGTCTTGCTCATAGGACATTAGTAAAAGAGGTCTAGTTTTCATTTTGAACTATATCCCTTTTTGTCCAAGCTGTTAAAATTTCTGTTAAAAATCTTGGACTGTCTATGTACCTATACTATTATGTTAAGAAAGACTCTTAAAGATATACTACTCTCTACTTTGATCATAGAAATAGGATGATATAGAGACAATACCTTTAAGATTCTTGACCCCTTATTTCTAGTCAAAAGTTTCTACGAGACACTCCGTTAAGTTTCTTAGAAACTTTATTGTCTAACTGCAAAGGTCAACAAGGTAAACCCCAAAGATTCTTAAAAGGATTGTTGTCTAACTGAGAGAGTCTGAGGGACAAAGCCTTATTCTTTCTGACATTTGAGCAAAGAAAATTTTAACCTCACCCTTGGGACTGATTCTCATGCTATGCAGTGACAGTTTTCCTGGCAGCACTCTAGATTTGATCTTTGCCCCTAGGTTTTAATTTACACTGAAAATATTTTGTGGGCTGCAAGGGTTGGAGATGAGAATAATTTAAGTTCCATTCCAGCAAATCCTGATTTGAAAGTGTGTCTTTTAGGTCAAAGTTTGGTCTACTGTGGCCCACAGGCCCACAGGTCAAATCAAGAATATCACCTTCTTTCATTAACAACTTTTTTTATAGTCGCACAGCCATATCTATTTTCTTACATTTATTGCTTATGTCTACTTTCATGCTACAATTCCAGAGTTGAGTAGTTGCTACAGACACCAGCTTGAAGAAACCAAAATATTTACTATCTGGCCCATTATAGAAAATATACACTGATTTATATTCTAGTACTGCTTGAAAACTGAACAGTCTCTTCTTTAGTTAGTTTCACCCTATTAATGATCATATACACCCAGAAGAAATCAGTTGACAGAACGTTCTGTCTAGAAACCTCCTTAGCCATATCTAATAGTTCATTAGATATATTTTCTGTCTTTCATATTGCCACAAGTCACAGCGTTCTCAAACATTCCGCCTCTACATAACAGGGCCAAAACTTACCAGAAACTCCAGGTTCAAATAACAATCCTGTCTTACCAGCCCCCACTGTCTATATTCTTGAGGGTCTTTTGACCAATACCTATTGGCTAGTCCCAAAACCAGTGGCAAATGTGTTAGGTTTTGTTATAGCAGCACCTCTATTCTAGGTACCAATTTCTCTTGTAGTTATCTGTTGCTGCAAAACAAACCATTCCAAAATGTCATGGTTTAAAATAACAACTACTTAATTATCCTAATGATTCTCTAAGTTAAATTGGGTCAAATGGCCTCTTCCCATGACAATTGGGACTTCAATTATCTGGGAACTCAATTGAACTTAAATGCCTACGATAGTTGCATTTTGGCTTATTTTTTGCTGTGTAATAGATTACTCCAAAATTTAACCACCTAAGACAAAAATATTTGTATTATCACAGTTTTATGGGATTGGGGACTTAGGGCAGCTGAGCTTGGATGTTCTAGCTTAGGATCTCTCCTAAGTCTGCAGTCAAACTGTACACTAAGTTGAATCATCTGAAGTCTGGCATATCCACTTTAAGTGTCTATAGGTGGGCCTTCGTTCCTCACCACCTTTCCTTTGGCTATTGACTGTCCTCATAGCATGACAGCAGGCTTCAGAAGAGCCACCAAAACAAACATAATAGTGCAGTTATAATCTGATCTTGGAGTTTCATATCATCACTTCTGTGGTATTCAATTGGTCATACAAACCAATCCAGTACAGTGTGAGAGAACATTACACATAGATGTGAATAACAGGAAACGACCTTCATTCAATGCCATATTGGAGACTGGCTATGACAATAACTCACTCTCAATTAGTGCTTGATGTAGGTAGTGTACTTCAGTTCTCACTTTTGTAGTTCCTCCATTCGCCCTTTGTTCCTTACATCATGGAGGCTGAGTTCCAGGAGGCAGCAAGTTGAAGCTGACAGTTCCTTCATGCCTGGGATTAGAAGTTCAAGAATGTCCTTTGCTGTAATAGATTTGTAAACGCTAGTCATAGGCTAGCCCAGATTCAAAGAAAGCAGAAATAAGCTCAATCTCTTATTGTGAATAATGGCATGTATGTACAAGGAAGGGAGGGATTCACGCCTAGGAAACATGGGAATGAATACACAGTCTAATTTTTCTCCTGCCCACTAACATATTGCAGGAATTTCCCATCCAGAAACTAGAGGGCAAGTTTGTCCATTGACAAACTGATGTCAGCCTTCTGGGTTATAAAGAGGACTTTGAAGAATAAAAATAAAATTAGAAGGAACAAATAGAAAATACACATTGCACTTCTGAAATACAGGTTAAAATTAATTCTAGTGAAATTGTTTTTCAGCAAAGATTGTTATAATTAAACAAAGTTTTCAATATCTATAAAAATAGCTTAATGAACAGGATAGTGGCTATACCAGTTTCTTCCTATTAAAGGTACAGAAGTCTTTCACCCTGAAAATTGACTCTGTAGTACAAAAGTTGAAAATCATGGAAGTCTGGCAGGCTATTCAAATTTCAATTTCTAGCTGAGAAATGTTTAGAAAAAATATATAGTACTCTTAGCATGAACCCCTAGACATTTATATTAACACAGCTACAGCAAACAGCAACATTTTCTATTTTTCTTTGATTAGTAACCTCATTTGAATTCAGACTTACCTTCCAACTCCCTGCTATAGCAAATCTTAGTCAGCCTTCCAGCCTGCCTAGTCTTAATCTGGAACTACTCTTTGCAGAGACAGGGCCCTATAATTATTTGGCTAGTATTGACTGAGCTTACTTGGAACACAGATGGATTTCCTTGATGTTACATGTGGCCATTTTCTAACTACTACTACTACTAGAGTGCTTCTACCCATTAGATCACACCCCATAGATAGTATTGCTGATCTCAGATCCTACCTGATATTGTCATGCAACTTCAGACATTATATTTTTAGTCACCCACATTGGAGTCAGTTCTCTAACCCCTGTTTCATTCAGACATGACTGAATCACCTCTCTTTACTGACCTGCCTTTGAAGAAAGCATTGCACTAGACTGCTTAGAATTTTAAAAATGCAAAACCGACCATTTAACTGTGCCTTTGACAGTGAAAATATGTTTTCATGACTATTTGAAAAACTAATAGTGTATGGATAGATACCTTTCATTTCAAAAGTTAACACCAAAAGCTAGCAGCATGGCATTCTGACATTCAATGCTAACATCCTAAGTAAGAAGCTTGTATTTTTCTACTCTATTCAAAATATTCTTCCTGTAGATTTGTATCCCTCTGACAGATTTCTTCGTCAAACAAAAATCACCATGAAAGTGTTTTCATAATTTTGTATGTGTTTGAACTTTCTGCTTTCAAAAATTTATCTAATTGCTATCATTTTTTCTCTCTCCACTAAGCTAAATATTTCATATCTTCATTCATAAGCAAGCCAATGATGATCTAGATTGCCAATATTTCCATTACTCAGAAGCTAAGGTATATTTTTAATATATTATTTTCAGTGATAACATCGTTTTAATACAGGATGTGGTACTATTACAGGTACAAGTTGTTTTATAAACATTAATCTTCAGATAAACTGACATTTCCATTGCTATTCCATAAACATAAAAAAGGAAATAAACAAATTGCTCAACATCTCACAAAAATCAAAGCAGAATTAGGATATCATCTACTCCATCTCCATCTATGTCATTAGAAAATCAAAATTTTCTTAAGGTGTTTTATAGGCTACAGATCAAAATGTGACCCCAACTATTTCATGGGCTGTTGTGTGTCTGGATGACCATTATTGCTTTTAAAAAAATACTTTTGCCTGTGAAGTATAGACTATATGGAAAAGAGTATGTAAAATATACAAACAGGTAGCAGTACACTAATAACATGAGCACTTATATATCCATCACCCAGGTTAAGACCTTAGGACATTACCAGATAAAAGTCTTGTATTGTGGTTCCTTGAGTACATTTCTCTTTCTCTTCTATTATCCAGAGAAAACTACTATCCCGGACTCTGTACGAATTATTTTCTAGGTTGCTTTTAGATTTTTACAACCTATGCATGAATTCATATACAATATACAACTTCCATGAACTCGTCATACTTTGCATTTTACAAGGAGAATTTTAATGTATCTACTCTGAGATGCTTCTTACACTAAACTTTGAGATTTATCTATGTTGACATGTTTGCTTATGTTTCATTAATTTTCTCTGCTTTCAAAGATGCCACTATATGAATATACCACCGTTTATTCTTTTATAGTTGATAGATAGTCCATTTCTCCCCCTTTTTTTAATGCTACAACTGTTATGTTCTTGTAAAACATACTTCTATGTGGCATTTTTTTTTGCAAAGAGTGTGCCAACAGGGCAAATACCAGCTGCTGGAATTACTAGCTAATAATTACAGGCATATTCAGCTCTACTTCATAGTGCTATACCAATCACAATGGACTTCACGATCCTCCAAAATCTTAGTCATTAAAACATCAAAGCTTTATTTGTTGTTCACATTCTGTTCTCATTTAGATGTGGGGTTAGTTAAGAAGATTTTCTTTCCACATCATCTTCCTTTAGGGGATGTTACCAGTCACCATGAAAAATGGTGAAGAACTTTTTGGTTAATCACTTACAGCTCTCAAAGACTCTTATTTGGAGGTGATTCTGGTCACATAGCCACACAAAACTTAAAAGAGGTGATACAATTTTAACATATGCCCTGGAGAAGAATAAGAAACAGCATTGAACAACCTGAAGTTCTACTAATGAAGACTACGAACTATTTTCAAAATGATGGCTTCAATTTACACTTCTACAAGAGAGGAGTAGTACTCTGTTGCTTCCTATCCTGCCAAATCAGATATTGTCAGACACTAGGATTTAAAATCTGATGAATAATATCTACCTCACTCTGCTTTTAATTTACATCTTTGTGATTAATAATGAGATTGAGCATGTTTTCTAAGTGTGTAAATGCTTATAAAATTCTCTTTTGTCAAATTACTTTTGTTATTTTACCCATTTATGTATTAAATAGTTCAAATTGTTTAAATAGTATTTACATATTCTAAATACCAATCCTTTATTGGTTTTACTTTTTTTTTCAAAAAATATTTTCTCAAACTCCGTGACTTGTGTTTTCATTCTCCTTAAAGTGTGTTTTTATAAAATTTTAAAAATATTTTGAGTCAATTAGATGAATAAAATCAGTCAATTTTATTGTTATATTTTTTCATGTCTTATTTAGGAACTTTAATGCTACCTGAAGAAATAAAGATATTCTCCTACACTATCTTCTAGATGTTTATCATTTTATTTCTCATCAATATGTCTTTAATATCCTTAAAATTGATTTTATCACATACAGTGTAATATAATGCACCATTTTTACTTTGTTACTTCCATATGTATAGTTGTTTATGAATCAGGATAAATTATGGGTGGATTTCAGTAAGAGGAAGGGATTTCCCCCCCACCCCCCAGGGACATTTGACAATGCCTGGAGACAATTATGTTTGTCACAGTGGGAAGGAGCGTGCTTCTAGCACGTGCTTCTAGTGTGCTTCTAGCATAGAGTAGAAAGGCAAGGAATGCTGATTTTAAAAAATCCTAAAATTCATAAGGCAGTTTGCCGAAGGTAGTAGAGGAGACTTTAATGTACTCACTTGTTAGTTGTGCCTCATTTTCTGACAAAAGGGGTTAAAAAGGAAGGTGGTCAAACTGGAGAATGAGGGCCCTCCCTGGTGGCACAAGAGGTTAAGATGCAACCTATGCAGCTATCTGCAGCCTCTGCAACATGAGTTCAATCCCTGGCCAGGGAGCTACCCACATAGCACAGCAGACCTCTCCTGACTTGCCCACTGCTCCCCTCAGCAGTGTATTTCAGTCAGTCTGTCTGCCTGTTGTGCTCTCCACTCTGTCTCTGGTAGATCCTCTCAACCTCCACACCTCTCTGACCTGTACCCCAGTTATTGTATTCATAAATTTAAAAAAAATCTTTAAAAAAAAAACTTGAAAAAATTTAAAAATTTTAAAAAACCTGGAGAATGAGGAATTAGAGGAAGGAAGGAAGTCAAATGGGCAACAAGGTGGGTATTGTTAAAATATAAACTGAGGTAAATTAAATTTTTTAAGTTTATTTAAGCAAAATCAATTGAAAGTAGGTAGCTTCCAATCTAGCAGATGGAAAGAAGATGGAGTTGTACAAAATGAAAGAATGGAAGACTTATAGGCAGAAGGGAACAGGAACAACGAAGTTATACCAGACAAAACGTGGGCTATTTCTTTATTTTTCTTTAGAAAAGTAACCGTAACCCTAATCCTAACCCTTTAAAGGGTGTTCTAACAGGTGCTGCTCAGCCAATTCCTGACTGACAAGTTTAAGATTATATTTCTGCAAAAGTAGGTAATCTACATTAGACTCACCCACCCTGGGCTAGGGCTGGGGTGGTGGGGGCAGTTGCTGATGTAGGATTTAACATAAATGACTCTGTTTGGGGTCTGTTGTCTTGTTTTAAATATTGTTAAGAATAGGAATGAGAAGGACCCAAACACACAAAGAGGAAAGCAATGGACATTTTGTTTAATCCTTTTATATGCGAAAAGCAAGAGTCAATTCACCTTTTCTCATAGGTGAAGTGGTAGCTTTGGGAATATTATTGGGGACAGGCTTTGAATATAAAGACTGGGAGTTTTGTAATTGTGTTTAAGCACAATTAATACCGATGAATCTTACAGCTGTTTCATTGTCCTCTTTTAAAGGGTCCTGAGGTGATATACACTTAACTAATAGTGACAGGTATATGTTACAATGTAATCTCCATAAAAAGGGAAGGCTCTAAGTTCCCTGCCCCATATAATGAAGGGTGGAGCTGAGCAGTGAGTCTCTAATTAGAAAAGTGTTTGGAGAGAAGACTGGGACACAGAGGGAAGACAGGAGGCAATGGAGCAGAGACATGTGAAAAAGGGCACACATGCTTCTCATTTTTTGATTTGCACCAGGGATTTGGGGGACATGGAAGGAGATAGTTGGAAGAAACGTGGTTGAGACCCCCATGGAAGGCTAATGATGACAGCTTTTACCTGGATTTCTGCTCTGAGTTTGCTCCTTTCATTCCAGACTTGCCTGACCCCTTCCGCCCCTTTCCTGCGGCTACCTGCCAGAAGGTTCCTTAGACTTGTGGCAAGATTTTGGAACTCAGTGGCCCTACTTTGGTTATCCCTATTTAACTGAGAAGTTACCCTCAAGAGAATGGGTAACATGGGTGTTTCACTGGAAAACTATTATCCTCTCTTCTCTATGTACACTATTATATTAAAATTCCTTCGCCCTAAGAGTATGCTTTGTCTTTATTTGGCAGGTGGCAGAATCCATTTACAGAATGCAAGTTTGGGGGATGTGGGTGTGCCTAAGTCTACACACTAAATGTATAAATGGTTAGTGATTAGAAAATCTATAAAGTATGTTAGGAGTTAGTTTACATGACTATCCCCAAGTTTTACGACTTTTCACATACATGCAATGATTTAATGCTTCTTACTATGTATTGACAATAACTTTTATGTTTGAAATTTAAATTTAGGTTGTGTACTAAACACACTAAAAATATTTTTAAACTTCCTCTTGTTTTAACTACAAAAGTAATCACATCTCTGTGTGAATATATTTTCTCATTCTACATGGACGGCAGAACAATAGCAAACAGTACTAAATCTATCAGTTTAGCAAATGTGGAGGCTTATGTAGATTTAGCTTTAAAGTATTAAGGTATTTTTAAGATATTAAGATGCACAGATTTAGAAATAGAGAAATAAGTGTTCCACATCATAATACAACTGATTTAAATGTAGCATAAACCTTCTGAGTTTGACTCCTGCATACTTTGCATCTGTCTTCATTACAGTACACCTCAAACCTCTGAGTCCTCACATCGTATGGATGAAATCAATAGGTAATTAAATAGTTGCAGTGATTCATTTAAAAATATTTGTTAGGCTCATATTCTAGCCATGTATTGTGCTGAGAAAGGAAAAAGCAATGATGACCTAGCCAGACAAGCCCTAGTACTTTGGATTTCATAATCTGTCAGTGCAAATTATTTAAATTCATCTGTATAAATTTAAAGATCTAATTGGCTTTATTGAAAGATTCATGAAATCTGGCAGCATCACATCTCACAAATAGAAAGAAAACATGAGGAGTTGTACAAGATCTAAAGGTTTTATAATAAAGTCAGAAAGGAGTGGGATGGGATTCTTAAAAGAAAAGAAAGACTATTTCAAGCAAAGTCACCATCCTTTAGCAAAACGCAGAGTGGGTTGGCAAGGGATCTTAATGCCAATTGTCTCACTAATTAATACTGGCCAGGAAATTCCATATTAATTGTTTTAAAATTCCACTTTTGTGGGGTGCTGAAACTGCAATAAGTTTAGTTATTTTGTGTTGGCGGAATTAGGCATTAATGGGCCGTATTTGGGGCATGTTGTTTCTTTTATAACAAATGAATTTAAATATCTAGCATATTTTCTGTGAAGCATTCTAAAACTACTTGAACTGCCTCTTCTGACCAGGTTGATGTCACTTTTTGATGGCATTTTTTCTGAACTTAGCTGCAAGAAGAAAACAGCTTTATAGGATATGAAAGTGAAGGGATTTTCACATTTGCATATCTGATTTGAAATATCTCAAGATATCTCTCTATCTCCAGCATCACCATCAAATCCTCAAAATAAAACAGAATAACCAAACAAACAATGAACTTCAGAACAGCTAAATGTCTGTGGCAAACTACTTATTCAGGAGATGAGGAAATAGATGTTACAAAATCAAACAAATGTTATTTTGGAACTTTAGGATAATTTAACTCCAAAAAGCATGGGATATCTACCTTAAGGTCTCTTTATTTCCTTTCCTTCATAAACTTTAATGAGTACATTGTTTCCTATTCTCTACTGTTCACCTGAGACTTCTTGGTGGAAAGAGGACAAACATGACTGAGGCATAAAGATAATTTCCTGCTTCAGTTTGTTCCAGATTTCTTTCAGAATTAAATATATTCTAGGAAGAGAGGGAAAAAAGGAAAAGAAAGATAATCCCATTTGTAAGTAAAATGTTTACTAGTCCTCTAAGTACTTTTATCTTATGCTAATTGGTTATTGTGCAATAGTTTGCAAACTATGTACCTCCTAGTATTTTGCAGAAGAACCTCTGGGATTCTACATATATTGGATTTGAATTTTTTTTTTTAGCTTTTAAATATATCTTTATCATTTCGTGGTCATGCTAAGAAAGTATGTCATACACCAAATTTTACGACATTGGATATCAGCAATACTTGCATTTATGTTGCCACATTAACTTTAGGGGTGGTACTTTTGTAAAAAGTTCTTCTTGGGATTTTTTAATTATAACTTTATAAAACTATAATGTATAAAATTATAAATTTTGTAAAGAATTTAAAATTAGGCAGAAAGGATGTATTTTTAAAAAATCTATGACTAGTTGCAAATTGTCTTTGTAAATCAGGATTTTATGGACTGTACCACCAACACAATAAATAAATCAGATGCTAAAACTGTTATTTATAACCTCTAATTTCAAATTATTGTGTAATGAAATGGTTTAATTTTTCTCCATAATTAATTTGAAAATAAATGTTATAAATTTAAATTCCTATAGTAAATTTATGTTAACAAAAGATTCCTTCATTCCATTTCATAAAAAAATTATTTTAAAATATTTATTTTTAATAATTTTTTGATTTGTCATTTTATTGATTTATTGATTTATGAAATTTTATAATTGAGAAATACAGCTTCACACTTTGATATGTGTATATGTTTAAATGACCCACCTCCAAAGATCTAGTGCTATGACAGTACCCAGTCAACCCCCATTACCTACCGAACCACGCACATGCTTTCACTTCCCCTCTAGTAACCACCATATTTTCAGAGTTTATCTGAGAGTTATTTTTGCTGGATTTGCCAGTTTGTTTGCTTTGATTATTTACATTCCCCATGTGAATAAAACCATCCAGTAATTGTAACTGTCTGACTTATTTCACTTAGCATAATTACCTCAACCTCCATTCATTATGTCACAAAAGGCAGATTTCATCTTTTTAAGTAGGTTGAGTGGTATTCCATGAGCATATATTGTATAATGTCTTACCCAGGCATCTACCGATGGGCATTTAGGTTGATTCCATGTCTTGGCTGTTGCATATAGTGCTGCTATGAACCCATAGGTGTGTACATTTTTGAATCAGTGTTATCAGTCTTCAGAAAATTACCTAGGAGGAGTATTACTAGATCATGTATTTCTATTTTTAGTTTTTAAAATGAATCTCCACACCATTTTCCACAGAGGTTGCACCAATATCCAATCTCCCCAACACTGTGTTCCTTTTTCTCCCACACCTTTGCCAACACTTGCTGTTTCCAGTCATTTTGATATAGGCAGTTCTCAAACAGGGGGATATCTCATCATGTTTTTTTACTTACATTTCTCTTATAATAAATGATGTTGAACCTTTTTTCATGTACCTGTGGGCTACCTGTATGTCTTTTTTGGAGAAATATATTTTCAGGTATTTTGCAATGTTTTGATTGGGCTGTTTTGTTGTTGTTGTTGAGATGTATGAGTTCTATGTATAGTTGAAATTAATCCCTTGTGGGATATATGATGTACAAATATCTTCTCCCAGTCAGTAGGTTGCTTTTTGTTTTTGTGGTGTTTTCCTTAGCTATACAAACACTTTTTTTTTTTAATTTGATGCAGTCCCCTTTGTTTATTTTTGCTTTTGTTTCCCTTGTCAAAGGAGTTATTTCATTTCCCAAATATATCGCTGAGGTAGATGCCCAGGAATGTGATGCCTATATTTCTTTCTACATATTTTAAGGTTTCAGGACTCGCACCTAAGTTTTGTTTTTTGTTTTTTGTTTTTTAAGATTTATCTATTTATTTATACAAGCACTGGGTATAGTCAGAAGTGCAGGAGGGTGAGAGACTTCATCAGAGCCAGTGGGGAGCAGAACAGGCAGAAGGACCGAAGTACACTGCTGAGGGGAGAGTGGGTACTGCAGGAGAGGTCTGCGCGCCATGTGGGACCCAAGCCAGTGGCCGGGGATGGAACCGGCGCTGCAGAGGCTGTGGGCATCTTCGCAGCCCAGCGCATAAATGCTGCGCCACTGGAGAGGCCCCTTGCACCTAAGTTTTTAATCCATTTTGAACTAATTTTTGCGTATGGTGTTAAATAATAGCCCAGGTTTTGTTTTGTTTTTTGCGTGAGGCTATCCAGGTTTCCAGTACCATTTGTTAAAGAGTTTCCTTTCTCTATTGTATGGTCTTTGCTACTTTGTCATAGATTAACTACCCGTGTATGTGTGGATTTATTTCTGGGCTCTCAATTCCATTTCATAAAAGATTTATTGGAAAAAGGATTCCACTGAAAACCACAAAACATATTATATATGTGTACCTAACTTAGCTTTTATTTTCAGTGTCTGAATGTGTACATAGCCTTCTTTGTGTGAGGGTAGAATATCTGAAGAATTATAACTATAATTTAATGATGGTTACAATGTTATAATAAAGATATTATGTTCATCTAATATTATGTTGAAATGGAAAAGTTACAATACTAAATTAGTTTTCTGCATTTTCTTTATAAAGAATATATAACTCAAAACCTGTCTTTATTTGAACAGATAAAGCTTTATGCCAGATAAAGCTTGACGCATACTCTTTTCAGAAGGCATGAGGAAAACCTTACTAAGTACCGATGACAAGAAATCCAGGACCTTTGTTATAAATCCAGAGGAAAAGTTTATTTTTGGTCAAAATTAATACTCTTAACAAGTAAGGATAAACATTATTGGCTGAAATCCAAGGCAGGCAGGTAAGAAAATGTTCGGTGTCAGTGTGAATTTTGGAAATCAGGGCAAGGCATTGAGTCCATGTCCTGCCTGAATGGACAGCTGCTACTTATCCTTGCTCAATCATCATTATGTGTAAATGTGAAAGACATTTACCATATTATGCGATTTTCCCAAAGGAAACTAAAAAACAGATTTTTAAAAAGCATTAAATCTGCTTTAAAATGCTGGCCCTAAAATGGAGACATAATGCTAACAAAATAAAACAAGGTAGTCTATAATATCTCATCATAATTAAACACAATTAATATAATTTCATTTTGTATGAACCACAGGACATATGTTTTTGTATTATGAAATAACACAATGATTATTAAAAATATGTGGATAATTTAGGCTCATACATGACATGTAAAGTCACTTAAGAATTTTTATAATTTTTAGAAATATCTAGTTCAGTGCATTTTTTTCTTCTGTGGTTACTAATAGCATATTTAAAATCTATAAGTGAATATTCTTCAAAAAGTAATAACCTTATTACTTATTTGACTTTGTAGAAAATAATTTAAAATGGAATCCATTTGACTCCTTACATATTCACTGTTTTTTCAAATTACCCTTACAGAAATTCAGACCTATAAGGATTTTTAAAAAATATTAAAATCCTTTAAGTTACAGATGAATGAGATCAAGGTAGATGTGCTTGTCTAAAATCAGAGATAGTGAATAGCAGAACTGATAAATTCAAATAGTATAAAGTTAAGAAGTAACATTTAATATTTCAAATTGTGATTGTGATAGACTGAAATACAAAGACAGCATTTGAGAAAATGTAACATATCCTTAGTTAAATTATGACATGCACAATTGGTATAGATACAGATATACCCAAGTAAAGTTTTACTGGGCAGTCTAGTTAATAATCTTACTCTCATTTTTAAAATAGATTTTCATTAATATTTTTATATTTGGTGAAGTAGTTTTCAAGTTGTTAACTTAGAAGGAATTCTGGATGGGTACCTTTTGTGAGCATCTGGGGAAATTTCGAAGAGAACAGAGCTGGTGTCCTGCACTTCAATAGTAATTAATCTCAGTATCTACCATTCATGTCTGCTTTGCAAATAAACTGAGAATTCAGAGATTTTTTTTTTAAATGACAAAAACATAAGAGTTTAGTGGAGTGTTCACTAGGAAAAAAAGGAACTTAGAAACTATGAAAGATGAAAACTCCGCTTTTGACTGTCAGAAGAGCTGACAGGAGTCAGATTTCCAGCAGGGAATGATGGCATTTCTACTGGAAACACAGAGCTGCTTAAGAGACCAAGACTAGATATTAATGTAGCCAGTATGAATTTGCTCCATGTATCAAGTAGTACACTTTATTCTAAGACAAACCAAATCATATTTCAAATCCCCACTTTCTGGAGTTATAAAAAAATTATTTGTTGCATTTAATAGAGAGGGCTATTTTCCTCCTGTATCCCAGGATCTGGTGCAGAGATGTAGTTGGTGCCTCTCCACAAATTGAGGTTGATGTTGAGGGTGTGGGCTGGTCTTTACTTTGCAGCAGTTATTATCTCCTTAAGCTCCATGATGCTGATATTATAGTTCATCGTCAGCTGTATGTTGTATACCTATCGACTGACAGCCTTTATAAATCTACAAAGATACTAGGACTCACTGAATGCGGGCTCAGCACTGCCCTCTAGGTTTGTAATTGCAGTGGCTAGTCTCACAGCACCTCCCCATTTAGGTAACTGTATTCTGGTGGACTTAGACATTTTGCAATTCTCCCTGTCTGTTAGGGAGAGTCACTTTCCCCTTTTCAACTCTCAGTACCAACTCCTTCATTCAGTTTCCTGGATGAGCCTCTCTTACCTCAAAAACTCTTTGGCGGAATTTCTCTTCCAGCCTTCAGTTACCTAGCAATAGTTATATTAGCACTACTATAACCAGTCTCTTGTCATGTTACTTCTGTCACATACACAAATACACACATACCACATACACTCTTTCTTCTACATCCATGCACATAAACATCCATATGTAAAACATATACTCTTATAAGTAAACTCTGTATATTCTCAATTATATAAAATAACACAGATAAAATAATTCAGTATTACATGACCAACTATGACCTACTGTAGAAATGCTTACATAGTAAAACCAAGAGATTAAATAGCAAGGCAGAATCTAGGAGTGAATATGGTAGGGGGGGGTTAATATACATGGATGCCAATTTCATCTTGTACTTTTAACTACACACTACATTATTATATGATTTACAGAGCTTTTTATTATTTGACCTATAATAAAGAGTGACAAGAGTAAACTACATTAAAAAGAAACTTTAAAACTTAAACACTTGTCTGGAAGTCAAGAAGGGTTGTATTTATTTGAGCAGCAGTAAGTAAACAGACAGAATTTGAATAATCTTTAGTGTAAGCAATGCTATTTGTAGGTCTAATGGTTTATAATTTAAAGTTATATTTCATTATATTTATAATGTCTCATTTATCATTTCTTTTTTTAAAAGATTTATTTATTTGTGCATACAAGAACTGGGGTACAGGCCAGAGGTGCAGGGTGTGAGAGAATTCACCAGAGACAGAGTGGGGAGGATAGGAGATCTACTGAAATACACTGCTAAGGGGAGGAGTGCAGACAGGAGAGGTCTGTTGCGCCATGTGCTCCCTGGCTGTGCTCCCTGGCGGACCAAGGATCGAGCTTGTGCTGCAGTGGCCGTGGATAGCTTCACAGTGCTGTGCTTAACACCTTGTGCCGTCAGGAAGGCCCTATCATTTCTATAATTCACTTCAGTTGCTACATTCTTCCTAAAGAAGGAGTAATTCTATAAAAATGATTTTTTTTTATTTTATTTTATAGAGGCATGTTTTATTTATTTATTTTGTTTGTTTGTTTGTTTGTTTATACATGCACTGGGTACAGTCAGAAGCACGAGGGTGAGAGAATTCACCAGAGCCAGAGCGGGGAGCAGAGCAGGCAGAAGGACCGAAGTACACTGCTGAGGGAGCAGCGGGCGGCAGGAGGGGTCTGCGCGCCATGTGGGACCCTCCTCCAGTGGCCGGGGAGCAGCCGGGGATCGAACCGGCGCCGCAGAGGCCGCGGGCAGCTTCGCAACCCAGCGCTCAACCGCTGCGCCACCGGGGAGGCCCTAAAAATGATTTTTATATGTGAAAAGATACATTTAAAAATTTCATTCTACTACATTCTGCCTCTCTTCTTGATCTCTGGTTTTAGCTTTAGCTAAGGAAAGCATAAAAAGGGACTAGAACATCATGAAGGGTAGATGATGTAAGGATATATTAATTCATCAAACCACAATGTAATGGACTGCACTATGACAAACATTTTTACACATAGAAAAATTGTCATATGAAGGAGTCTGATAAATAACAAAGGTTTTAAGACTTATTGTTGGTAGGGCTCAAGTCACTCTAGGAATTCACCTGAATAAAGAATGTGCATTTGAAGATACTTTACGGATGTTGCAGATAAGTGACATAAAGTTAGTTGATAGAACATGAATACTATCCAATTATTACTTTTTTAGTGTTCTTTAATAGTTTTAAATTATTTTTCCTTTGTAATTTTCTTGCCATAGCTAACATCTTTTTTTATTGTTTGTTTTTACCACAGCGAGTTTTTATTTATTTTTTTTAAGATTTATTTATTTATACAAGAGGGGGGTACAGGCCAGAGGTGCGGGAGGGTTAGAGAATTCACCAGAGACAGAGGGGGAAACAGGACAGGCAGACGGACTGAAAACACTGCACGCTCAACCCACTGCAGTACCGGGGAATTCCCACAGCAAGTTTTTAAATCCAAGTGGTTTAAGAAACGAAACTTACATTTTGAATTGTGGCTCTGACAAAATATTTTCTGCTATAGATTTTAATGTCATTTTTCTTAAAATGCAAAAGTATAGGAAAATACAGTTATTTCCAATATTACTCTTGTATTCTTTGTATATTACTTTTCATTGTGCCCAAAGTATATCTTCAAAACATGTATTATTAACTGATTTGAAAATACATGTTAAGGCACACAATATGTTCTTTGATTTTGATAACTCTTCACTAAATTCAGCAAATGGTAGCAAAAAAACTAATTAAAAATTAGATTTTAGAGACTTACAAAGCATCTAACAACTATTATATTTCATAGATGAGAAACTGAAACTTAGAGTAGGTAAATGAGTTATAGTAAGTCACAATAGTGGATGGAAAAGTCAGAACCAGAGCATCAGTTCAAGGTTCTTTATTTTTTTTTTAAACTTTATATTTTGGAATAGTTTTAGACTTATGGAAATGTTGCAAAGACAGAAATTCTCCTATATGCTTCCCCTAATGGTAACCATTTTACATAACCATGTATCAATTAATACAAAGTTCTTTTTCATTGCCCATGGAGTATTAACTCAGATTTTGAAATAATGACACATTTTTTCTATAAGTTTCTATAAGTTAGTATCTTTCAGAGTGTTTCATAATATATCACCAACAGTGAATTTAATTATTACATACATAAGTATAAAAGTTATTTGAATTTTTGAGAAGATAAAGTTCAATAAATGATTTTCTAAGCAGTATAATCTTAGAAAAGTATTTCTAATCAGTATGTTTATTTATAGAACTTGTTCTATAGACCTGGGAATGTGAGGGTAGGAAATATACTCATTTGGTATATATTTGCTCCTATTTTCTTTGTGCTGAATTGATTGAAGAAAATAATCAGAATATTTTTTTTCATGAGCATTGTTTTAAAAAACTAAAAATATGCTTTTTACAAACAGAAAAAAAAAATTCAGGTTTTTTACACCAATGCTTGGGATTGTGAAATTTAGAATTACAATTGGGATTGTGAAAATTACAAAATCTTTTCTTCTATTTGTACTTTGTTTTCCTAATACTTTGCAATAATATGTATGTTTCTTATTTTTTCTGTTTCCTATTTTTATGTTGACACTTAAATTGTTACTGCCCCACCCACACCTCCTTATCCTACCATTTCAGAGCTTCCTAACACTCATTTTCCATATTAGAGAATGTTCCACAGTAGGGTGTTAATTCCCTAGCATTGCCAGCCTATGTAAGAGCAAAATAGACTCCAGCCATCAAAGAAAGTCTTCAGAAAAAATGCAGCATTGGCAGTTGGAAGACTAGCCAGCAAGCTATGCATTAACGTACCCTCAGAATAGACCTTGACCAGAAACTGAAGGGAGCTGGTGTATGTATGTATGTGTGTATGTATGTATATGTACACATATGTGTATATGTATGTATATACCCTATATACGTATACATCTGGTATATATGTATATATCTTGTATATATATGTATACAAGATACATATGTATGTGCACACATATATTTGTATTTATGTATGTATGTATCTCACTTTCCTCATACTTAGGCTGGGTTAATTCTGAGGTAAATTTTGAATGGACCAGGAAATCCCAATGAGACCAAACCCTATTTACTTACAGTGAAAACTTGTTTGGTAATTCACCCATCATTGCCTTCCTTCCATTCCCTGTCTCACTTTCCCAAGCTCCTACTGTGTTTCCTGAAATCACTTCCAAAAAAACCTACTTGCACTTGAATCCTTAATTCAGGAACTCAGAACTCAGGATCTGCCTCTGCTGAAACACAAACACAAAAAATATTTTCCCAAAGCATAGTCTGAAGCAACAATTAAGTCAAAGGAGTATTGTTTGTTAGTGACAGGTTGAATGTAGCAAGAACAGGAACATGGAGATAAATGGACTTAAGAAAATATTTGTGGATATCAGTTATCTATCTGTGCTTTCACTAGAAAGTTAATGATTATTACTAAGAATAGATTATTTTATGTCCATGTTACTCAGCCTAAAACTTTAGGAAAGAAAAGAAACCTCCACTGGAAGCCTATAAAACTAGAATTTGTTCTTCAGATTAATATTTTCTGATACTTGCTTGTGTTCATAACTCACCAACTAATTAGCAACAAAAAAGCACACAGAGTCTATCGTCTTAAGGTGTCGGAAAATATCAAATTTCCAGTGCCAAGTGCTTGGTTAATTAAAAAATAAAATGTCTCTTTTCAGAGAATTAAACACCAAATGCTTCTATTATATTTTATAAAAAGTTCATCAATCAAACAGTTTATTTGTAGCATAAGAAGCATAAAGCATATTAAATATTAATGAACTGGGAGTTGCTATACTTTCTCATTCAGTTTTATTTACTGGTAAAAATGAGAAGACATAGATTAAATGTTTATATCTGTTTAATCAAAATGACAGATATGCAATGAGAAAAGGAGAAGTGTAATTTAAAAAAAAAAACCAACAAGATATACTAAGGAATGGAAATTAATTAGAATGGATACCCTGATAATCTTTACTGACTATACCAGCTCATAGATGACTGATCCTTGTTATTCAGACCAGGTCATAGGATAGTCTATAAGAATAGATTGCTGACATACCATAGTTACATTACTAGTAAGCATACTCTCCACTTTCAAAAATTGTATCTTCTGTTTCTGTACTCCATGGAGATTTGGGTAATATTTAAATATTAAGTCTAAAGAAGAAAATCAGAGAAGGGTCAAATAAATGCCAATACAGTGTCATGTGTGTCAATAAACTTATGTCTATAAGACAGTTTAACTCAGAAGGATCACTTACAGTTTGCCTTACACACGTCAATGAGAAATATTTTCTTAACGGGGGCCTCTCTAATGGCGCAAGGGGTTAAGACACAACCTATGAAGCTATCTATAGCCACTACAGCATGAGTTCGATCCCCGGCCAGGGAGCTACCCACATGGCACAGCAGACCTCTCCTGACCTGCCTACTGCTCCCCTCAGCAGTGTGTTTCAGTCACTCTGCCTGTTCTGCTCCCCACTTTGTCTCTGGTGAATCCTCTCACCCCCCACACCTCTGGCTTGTACCCCATTCTTGCATATATAAATAAATAAATCTTAAAAATATATTTTCTAAACTATTTGAGACTATTTTATTTTTAGAAATTTATTAACATCCACCTTTGCAATTCTAAAAGTCTTAATTCAAAACTATATTCTAATGAATACTTTGGCCAAGTTTGAACTATCATTCTTTTGTCTTTAATTGTCTTAAAAATCTAGTATCAAATTCCAGCTTTTCCTTTTTTTTTTTAATTTAAGAAATCCTTACATCTTTTGTACAGTTCACAGGACACTTAGATTGCATGATATCCAGATTTGCCTTATCTTGATTGATTAGCCTTATCTAAACCATGGTGTTTCCTATTCATAACTCAATTTTTTAAAAATGTAATTTTGTGCATTAATACTATTTTTGTTGTGAAAACTATATAGTGATTTCTTATTTCATAATACAACAGATCAATATTGTAGACTTTGGTTCAAAGACCTTTACTAATATGCACTAACTTACCTGCTCTTCTTTCTTTCAACTCCCAACCTATCATCTCCCCTGACTTGAAGCAAACGTAGCTTTTCATGCTCCAGATAAACCTTTATTCACAAACTAAATGTTATTCTCTTCCTCATTCAGCAGATTGTCATCTATCTTTCATTACTTAAAAAGCACCAGGAATTTCAATGTCTCCTAAATGCTCCTTTTAATAAAGGATTCTATGGGTAAGATTAGAATTCTTTTCCATTCCCTTCTCATCAGAAATTAAATTTTATTCTCTTTGGTTATGGCTTAAGATATACAGGTATTCTGGATTAGCGTACCATACAATTATAGTGAAATCCTTCCTTATGCTAGCTTAACAATAAAGTCATCTTTTAGGTTGAAATGGTAAAATGAAATGCATAGGGAAGGAACATCTCTGTTCCAGAAATCTAGTGAATGTATTTAAGCCTTTTTACATCTTACCATACATTATCATTATCAACACATGTATTACTTTATTTGAGTCATAAGAATTGTGGAAGCAGGAGCTGCAGTCCTTGTTTTAAGTGGCAGGGACCTGAGGATCTAGCTTACTGCAATATTCGGAGAGAACAGGCTTTGGAATCAGGAAGCCCGGAGTTTGAATTATTACTACAATGTTTATACCTCTGTGATTTTGGGTAAATTATTACTATCTCTAAGCCTAAACTGCCTCATAAAATGGGGAGAACAAAAACTACATGACATGCTATAGGTAAAGAACATCACATGCAAAGTGGACTGCTTGACACAGGTAAGCCCTTAACAAACAGCAACATGTTAAGGAATTTGCCCGACAGACTTTTAAAATATGCTGGCGGTGACCGAAAACCAAGATTTTGGACAACAAAACCCATGCTTTTCCGCTATTCCTGCTTCCTAGAACACTGACTTAATTAAACTACTAATGTGATGGATGACTTTGAGCAAAATACTTCCAGAAGTCATTTTACTCGTCTATAAACTGAGTCTCTTCAGACTGTCTATTCCAGCTATATCAGGTGTTTTTTTTGTTTTTTTTTCCCCTTGTAGTGTTTTAAGTCGGGTTCAGCAGAGATCCAAAATCTGTCTAATCATAAGCTGTGCACGTTCAATGAATTCTATCCTATATTCTCGTATTTCGTTCAATATTCAGGTTTTTTGTTTTTTTTTTTGGCAAGCATTTCGGCTGTTGGCTGTCTTTAGTCTACCTATCAGCGCCTCTTCAACGGAAGACCATACCTAACTTTATTTATATCTTGGCTTGTTCCCGACAGGATTTCAAGGCGGCGAGTGACACTCTAAGTTCCCTAACGATGCGACACGGTCCGATTAAGACTCTCTTGATGAAATCACCTCGCAGAAAAGCGCCAATGAATGGGATGCAACTAATGTCTTTCAACTAACTCTTAAAAAAAAAAAAAACCGAATAAACCTATGCGGAAGTCCTGCTGGCATACACTCAGCGTTCGCCCCTCGGCTTGGACGCCGTCCCACCCACTGCCAACGGTCACTCGCACGCCCTTCCCACACTAGCCCAAACCGTCGTCGCTCCAGTCCCAGCTGGACGAAGCTCCCACCCCGCCCCTTCCCGCCCTCTCAAGCCCACGCTCCCTGATTGGGAAGGGGACTGAAGCGCCCGTCTCCCCCTTCCATTTTATTGGCTAGCGCGGCTGTCAGTAATCCCGCTTCCCGCCTTCCCGCCTAGCGCGTTTCTAGGACCCCTCGGTTTCCGCGACAAGCCGCTTACGTTTGCCTGAGCCGTGTTGCCGGGGCCCCGCGACCTTTCACCCCTCCCTTCCCACAGGAGCGCCCAGACCCGCGTCCCGTCCACGCCCCCGCGGCTGGCGCGCGCCCCCGCGCACGCGCTCAGCCCGCGCGCACACGCACGCGCGGAGAAACTCACACGCCCCCCCCACCCCGCCCCGCGCGCGCCCCCCCCGTCGCCCCCGCAGGCTGAGGCGGCGGCGCTGCTGAGAGGCAGGGACCCGAGCGCGAAGTGTGTGGGTGTCTACGAACTCAAGCCCGCTCGCCCTCCCCGCGCAGCCGTCCCCCGCCCTCCCTCCCTCCCTCCCCGCCGGCCCCCCCGCGCCCCCCCACACACAAGCGGGAGAAATAATGAGCGAGACCAGGCGGCAGCAGCAGCAGCGCGGAGCAGCCCAGGCAACGGCAGAAGCGCTCGGGCAGCGGCGGCGGCAGCACCAGCGGCGGGAGCGAGCGCAGCGCTAGCGCGGTGCGGGGACCGCCGCGCTCCGGCCCGGCTTCTGCCCTCCTCCGCCGCCCGCTCCGCTCTCCGCACCCACCGCCTTCCCCTCCTCCTGCTCATTCACTCTTTCCCTCACGCTCCCCTCCTCCTCCTCCTCCTCCTCCTCCTCCGGCTCGGCTGCGCCCCGCGCCCCGCCAGCCCTCGCGGTCTCCCACTCCCTCTGCCCGTCCTCCCGCTCCCTCCTCCCGCTCATTCACTCGCCCCTCTCCCTTCTCACTCTCTCCCCCTCGCTCCTTTCTTCTCCTTCACCCTCCGTCTCTCACACCCCCTCCATTCCCGTCTCCTTCTGACACTGCACTGCAGCTGCTCCACAGCCCTGCCCCCTCCCCAGTGAGAACAAACCAGCAACATCGCTTTTTTCTAAAGAGATTTCTATTGATCCGATTAAAAAAACCTTAAGAGAACCCAAAAGCAAAAGCAAAAAAAAAAAAAAAAAAAAAAAGCCAAAACAAAAGGGAGAAGCTTCTCCCCGTAGCAGCGGCAGGAACAGCAAACATGATGGCGGCAGCTCCCATCCAGCAGAACGGGACCCACACTGGGGTTCCCATAGACCTGGACCCGCCGGACTCGCGGAAAAGGCCGCTGGAAGCCCCCCCTGAAGCCGGCAGCACCAAGAGGACCAATACGGGCGGTGGGTATCACTTCCACCTCCCCGCCGGCCCCATCCCCCGCCGCCCGCCCCTGCCTCCTCCCGCCCTCCCGCCCGCCCGCGGCCCGGACACCTCCAGCCCGAACCCCGCGGCTCCCGCGCCCCGGCCCCGCGCCCCCTCCCCTGCACCTGCCCCGCACCTCGCTGTCCCCGACACATTTCCATTTCTGTGTTTATCATTCATCAAAATGGCGACCGGTTTTTCGGAATAGACCTATCTTTCCATTTAATCGGTCGAAAGGCTGACCCGTTAAATAGCCTAGACGGGGCGAGGGGCTCCGCTCAGGAGGAGGAGGATGACCCCCGAGTGAGGTGATGGCTGCCCGAAGATGCGCGCTGCATTGAACAGTCGGATAAAATAAATAAATAAATGGCACTCGGTTAGCGGAGAGCGAATGATTGGGGCACCGGAGAGTTTTCTCTCCCCATCCCCTCGCTCTGGCCACAAGTAGTATGCAAAATCTTGAGTGCATGCTCTTACCGCACTTGTATTGTCGGTGCAAAAATGTCTCATTGATTTTGTCTTCGGGGTGTGCATACGAGGGTGGGGGTGTCTGGGACTGGGACTTGTTAGTTAACATCCTGCGCTTCCTGGGAAGATGAGTTATAACGGGACCGGTATCGCGTCTTCATGGGCACTGGAGTCATCTTAACAATGCACCCAATGCATCGAGGCAGAGGTGAATGTATCTACAGCATGTACATTAGAGACGGATGGGGGTCTGGCGACGGCACGCCCGCAAATTTTGGAACGTTCATGCACATAAGGAAGCTGGATTTTCCGGGGTGTTTCCTGGTTAAGACATGATCAGTTGGACGGATATTAAAGTTTATGGTGTTGGCTTGATTTCCTAAAACAGTTTCATTTCTCTCTTTCTTGGATCATCCGTCCCCTCTCAATTGTGGTGGTTTTGGAAAGGGAGCATCATCGTGTAGTTTGGTCGTTTTTACGCGTGTTTGATAGAAATGACTCCTAAGCTTTTTAGTCCTGGCAGAATTCTTAAGGTCCTTTAATTAATGAGCTTAAACAGATCATGAGAGACTGAGACGTGCTAAAGAAATACCCCAGGATTAGTTAGATTTGCCCGTCTACACCACTTTGAGTTATTTCCTGGCAGTTACTGGAGACTTGGAATACACCCTACAGTTCGGGTGGATTATTTGCTAGGAGAATGTTTGTTTTGCATACTTTAAGTGGGATATAGGCAATGGCTAATTGTAGTGTTAGCTAATGTCAAACAAATGTAGCTTATCACTAACAGCCCTTTTAATTATTTTGCAGCCGTGTTAAGCGAAGGTTTGTCATCGTATCAATTTCTGAAGTTTTGTTAAAGGGTCAGTTCATTTCGTTTTACCATAGTAACCACAGATAGAATTGGACTACTTCCATGTTTGGAATAACAACTGGAATTTAGTCATCAGTTTCTACAGTGCTACAAAATAGGAGCGCGTGTTTAGAATTTAATTCCAAGTTTGAAAAGTATAAGTCCTACGAAATGGAAAACATTTTGTACATATTTGTTTCTCAGTGTATTGAGCTTATTT